CATACAAACCTTTATAAATTCAAACCGTTGTAACACAACACCTCCATATGCTGCAAGGCGAGAGTCATGTTTCGCGTGGTCAAATTCGGTCGTTATGTAGTAGCACATGCCATATGTCACGTTAGCCTGAACGTTCGCATAAGAAGGATAACAGTGAGAGCTTGGGCCGCCTGTGATTATGATAGTTAATGCAAGGCAAAGGAAAATAAACATCTATCTGACTTGAGAAATTTTAGACCCAAAACCAAAAATAATAAACCACAACATGACCATCTCAGTTACTTTGCAAAATAATGTGGTGAAAATGTTTATGCTCAGCTTCTCAATCATTCTATCCTGATGTACATGTACACAGAAAGGTAACATTTTCTGTGTTTCTGTACATTTTTGAGGTGATCAAGTGAGTGACTATTGGTAACTCTCTGTCTAATTGGTTATGTGCAGTGAGGTAGTTGCCTTATAGTGATCATTAGTATAAATCTTCTAGCATTCAATCACGATTGCTGTTCTCTTATTGGCTACACTATTGACTTGGTTGTTAACAAAAAGGCAGCCACTTCTTTGCATTTTCAAGATTTAGATAGAGTTTTGAATCACTGGTAGATTTATATAACAATATATGTGATACATGATAGTTGACTCAGGCTGGCTCAGGTCTCATCAACTATCATGTGATAGAAACCTAATTGTTAAATAGAAGGTCCACTGAGACACATTGATTGTCATTGTTAGAAAAGACTAGAACATATTATTATCCAACTGCAGTGAATACCGTCCAAATAACAGTACAAATATACAGTAATATTGTACTGTAGAAAACCTGTTTGCCGGACAGGTTGGCACATGCACACAAAACTGTCACACTCTCCTTCTTTCACTGATAAATTTATTGACTACAGCAGTGGGATAATAAATCTCTCATTAGATGTTTTGGTGTGTAGTATTGCTTAATATTTTTACTCATTGTTTGTATTTTGATGAGCCCGAACTCGCCCTTTGGGCTCGTCAAAATGTGGTACAACTCGTGAAAATTAACAGCGATACTACACAACAAAACATCTAATAAGATATATATATTCTTCTGTTCGACAATTAGATTATGGCCTTGAGATCTCTATATTTGCATGATAGTTGATGAGGGCACAGCCTGAGTCAACTATCATGCATAGACATTAAGAACAAATAATCTAATTTTTTTAAAAACTTATAATTCTTACTACTAGTATCTAAATCTAAATGTATCTAAATCCTCTTCACACTGCTAGGCTACTCACCATCTACAAAAGAATAGATGTATGTAGTAAATAGTGTAGCCAATCAGAGAATGGCATTCCTGATAAAACTCTAGCAGATTTGTACTAATGATAATTAGGTCAGTGCACCTTCTACAAGTTAGTTGTTAATGTAAACTCTCATTGCAGCCATCTTCCAAAGATTTATCAGTCATTCCTGATGTCTGCAACTTTAAGTGAGGTGTGTATTATTAGATGGGTGTGTAGAAATCGTCATTTAAATTAGGAAGGCACTTTGCAATACAAAAGTGTAGCCTGGGAGAAGAGAATTTTCAAGCAGATGGTTTAGCATGTATAAACAAGAAAAGCTTTCCAATGTTTCATATTTCCTACAGCTCAAGGACAACAAAGTAAAATCATTTAAGTCTATAATAAGTTGTATCAGGTTTTTCTTTTTCCAGTCAAGTTGGTTTAGGAGAATAGAATTCAGGCAGAGAAATCACTAAGCATTTTTGAGAAACCCAATAATTTCTTTTATTACCCTGGGATCATTATTTTATCAACTTGAGGTAAAAAATCTAAGTTGCTGGAGATTGTGATGTTTGCTGGCTGCTGGAAAGGATGATTATGATACCAACACCCCAGTCAATGTGGCCTTGATATACTGTGAAATTTTCATAACAAACAAAGTAAACTTATGGATTAAAGGCTGACTGTACAGTCGTGTATTTCTGTGTAATTCTGTCATGATTTATTTTCAACATTTTTTTTGCAGGATGTTACAGCTTTAAAGAAACTTGTCCTCCACAATCCAGTAAGTATTTCAAACTACATCATATTGTATGTAACCACAACAGATTAACACAGTTATTTATTAGCTACATTGTAATTTTGGAAGGGCAAAGAGTTGTAGTTAGCTTGAATCCCTACCAGACCACTACCAGGTTCTTAACAAGTAAGACTTGTACAATCATGCTGGCTTTGCACATTAAAGAAACTTAAAAGCAGCTTCACCTCAATATCAACTAGGCCTGGAGAGAACAAAAAAATGGGATTTCTTCAAACTCATCCAGAATGAAGCCCTGCGGGTACTAGTTATAAAATTATTGTTTTAAGTTCGATAAATCAATTTTTTTGTTGGCAATTTTCTTTCTAACATTTTTGTGTATCTGTACATTCATTCATTGCTTGGTTCCTGGTTTTTAAAATTTATTTTTTCAATGTGTTTTACAGGTTATCCTCAAGCTGCAGGAGTCACAGCTTCCATCTGATGACAAACTCACACAGTATTTTATAAAGTATGTTTGAAGAAGAAAATGTTGCACTTTACATGTACTTTACATGTACAGTACTTTGAGTTTTATTTGACAGAGAATGGCCTTAAGCACCCTGTAAAAAGGAATCAAAATTGCAGTTTATTGCAAATCTCAATAAGAAAGGGGAGTGGAAGGGGAAATATATGCAGCTTACTGTGACCCAGAAGGGTCAAACACACACAAAAAAGAAAACAGTAATAATCATGAAAGAAACCTTGCACATGCTTCTCTCCACAGAGGAGAATAATAATTGGAAACTGTTAGAAGGGCAAACTGACATAATAGAACTGGGTGTCAGGAGGGAACACTCCTAGCATCATAATCCTATGAATACCAGAGTTAGCAATGAACTGTGAACCGTTATTGTGGGCTTAGAGAAGACTACCATTACTCTTCAAGTCGGCTGTATATCCTGTGGAGTGTTTTCCTTCCTTTATCATATTTGTTTTCTAGATGTGAAATGGATGAAAAGTTCCTCTTGATATACACTCTTCTCAAGTTAAGGTAAGATCAAGAATGGCGTTGTCTTGTCGCTAGACAATGGCTACTCAAAAACTTTGTGTCTCCTTTAGCCTTTAGGCTCTAATTAATAATTCCTCTCCTTATTATTTTGTTTTTATATCAACTTGCAATGTTTATGATACATCTCCTGTGAGTTCCAAATGTATGTTAGTGCATAGTTAATAGAGGGGAATGGTTAAGAAACCCAAGAAAGTTCTTTGTTGTATGTTTTTGTTCTCTTTTCTGGCCTTGACCATGCACAAAACGCAATAGTTGTTTACTTCTGACTGAGGAACTAACCAATGGAAACATTTTGGTTATATAATTCACGCATAGTGTATGAGAGCAAAACGAATGATTGTGCACGGTAGTGAACCTTCCAAAATAAATCTAATGTCATCTTTTTTGCTCCTTTGATATTTGCCGGGCTTCATAACCATTCTCCTATGTTTACTATGGTTAGTGTGAGTCAATAAAGATTATTGTTATTGTTGTTACTGTTATTTGTTACTCTTTACTGTGCCTTTCAGTAACATGCGGACTTTAAAATTCAAAGCTGAACCGACAAATGCGATTTTCGCTACTGTCAATCAAATGTTTGGCGGCTCCTCCCAGCTTCTGAGCACACGATAATCAAATTGTTGAGCATGGTTCAGACAATGAAACAGTGTTCGGCAGTTGTCGGAAGTTGAGAGAAACCGCCAAACATCTGATTGATGGTAGCAAAAAAACGCATTTGTCGGTTGAGCTTTGAATTTTAGAGTCCGCTTGTTATTGAAAGGCGCAGTAACTAGAACTTATAGTGGGTGCGATCCATTCAACAAAAATTTCCGGGCTGAGGTTCAAAAATTTCTTGGTGTTGAATGGATTGCGACGGGTCCGGATGGTCTCATTCCATTCCATTCACAAAACAAGTTTCGTGCTCATTTAAATGGAGGATATTGGATCACTGTTGCTCATACTAGAGCTACAGTACATGACAATTTTGACGGTGATATCAATTATATTTTCATGAGCTGTTTAAAGCGTAGCATTATTTTGAGCATACCATTCCCAGATATTTGCCATATTAGTTCAAACACCACTTTTGAATGACGAAAAGAACATTCCAAATTCTCTCGGGAAATAAATCGTCTTTAAGAGCCGTTAACAGCCAAAACATACACTTGGCTTGCGAAGCAGCTCCAGACCTGTTGTATCTGCACATGGATGTATGAGTAACACCGATAGATCTGCTGTTAACAATCCATAAATTAGCTGCATAATAAGTGTTTTTCTCCATGTTGTACATGGAAACTACCGCACAGCGAGGTACTGGGATTGAGAATGGGTCGAAATGGTCAAATGGAACAGTCCCTTTCAATTGGACTGGTCGAACCGAGAAAAGTGGTCCATTTCGAAAGGTGGGCTGATTTTTTTTGAAACTTTTCTGGTTGGACTGAACCAATCCATTCAGTTTTAGACCGAAATTTCCACAAATTTTGGTTGAATGGATTGCGTCCAGTGTGAAAAAAGCAGTCTTGACTGATTTATATGGATTGGTTATTGTGTTGTATCACAGACTTGTTCAAGGGAAAACTATTTTGTTTGTCAATGGAATTGACAGGTGTTACAGGTAAATAGCTAATTATTCTCAGTTATAATTGCAGCACTGTGTTACAGGTTTACTGTATGACTGGTGTGTTATTAAATACTACATGTACCATCCACAAACTAGTCAACTGCACAACTTAAAAGCTCTCTATAAAGTTATTATGCGAAAACAAGAATTGTACGAACAGTCTTCATGAACATTTGTCAGTGTACATGCTGTAGTTAGAGATAAGTCAGAGATATGGTGATGTAATGTTTAGTGTACTGCCCCAGGGATTACAGATGCATGTGTGGTTCAAGCCTTAACCGAGATCACTCCGTTGTGTTCTCAGGGAAGACACTTAACACTCACACTACCTCTCCACCTTGGTGTATAGATGGGTACTGGCAAATTAAATGGTAACCTTAGCATATTATCCAACGGAGAGTATAAATACTGACTCTTAGTCACTTACATGTAATACTTCAGAAAGCAAAGATCAAAAATGCCCACATGAAAATAGAGTGAATATGCCAAAGCTTTGAAAGAAATGGCATGTGCAGTGTGTAATCTAGGATGATTAATACATATAAGACCTATTGTTTGTGCAATTGATGTTCATCGATCTTAATGACCGCAGACAATGCCCTAAAGTCCTCAAATATTGTGCATGTGATGGTCATGCAATTACCTGTAAAATTAATTGTACATGAATTAACGTTTAAAAATTATTCAATTTCTGTGCTTACATGTATCCTGGAATTCAGTTATACTTACAAAAGGAGTGCTTTTATAAACCTCAAGACCACATGCCAAATGATAATATCTCTACTGTTCTGTCTTGCAGGCTGAAACTCTTTCTTGAGCAGTTTTCAATCAAAGCTTGTGTATTGAATTCTGAATTACCACACAACTCAAGGTAACCTGTAGGTTTTTATGCTTAATGTTTTGCAGCTTTTAGTTATTTTTAGTTGCATACTGTTTGGGGTGCTGTTGATGTTGTAATGCAATAATGTTTTTTGGCACTTTCAGATTACATATAGTAGAGGAATTCAACAGAGACATCTATGACTACATCATAGCATCTGATGAAAGTGTGTTTGATGCTGTGGCCTCGACATCTAGTATCCTTCACAAAGATATGGTCTGTTCCAAATATTGTTACCTCTGTCAGCAACTGTATTTTTAAATACAGCATTAGTGAACAATTTCACGTTTTAGAATTGGGCAATCATGGTCATTAGAATTTTCTTTTTTTGCTTTCTAATACAGGGATGTATTTTTAATTACCTTATAAATAGTGCAGATTGTCAGCCCAGGGCCATATTCAGGAAGATCTCCATAAAAATATAAGTTCAAGATGCAACCTGAGTTTTGCTTCTAACAATAGGTTTTTGTATTTAACCAATGTGTATACTTTGGAAACATTTCAAGTTAGGGCTTTACGAATGTGGTCCTGAGAATACAAAGGTCATGTCAATCAAGTAGTCCATCAATTCAAGTAATAAGCCCTGTCATAAAATTAATGTTTTCAGCCATAATGATCACATTATCTATGTGATATAGTTTGTTGTCCTTGACTTTGACATTTACAGCAAATGTAAAGAAAAAGAAAAAGTGAGTACAGTAATACCTGACTTGTCAATATCGCATGAAATTATTACCTCTTTACTTGTTTTCAGACAGTGATATGTTTGGCAGTGCTGCTTCTGTAATTCAGTCAATGTTAAGTTGTATCAAAGCTCAATAATGTGTGTCCATGAGTAACATGGCTTACTTGTATACAGGAAGAGTTGGTGGAGAAAACCTAATTTATTGCCAAACCTAATTTATACACACTAAATTTCTACATGCACATGTGCAATGGAGGAAAGCTAAATGAATCAGATTTTTGCATTTTGCAGTATGTTATGTTAATAACATTATTTTCCTTTTCTACAGGAGAAAGAAAGACAAAGAGTATGGGGTGTCAAGAGGAGTAGATTTTCAAGGTTTGCTTTTAGAAAGTATTTCAAAATGATTACAAGTGAATGGAAACAAAACATCATGCAAACTAAATGTAAGCAAAATGATTACTTTTGTTCAGCAAAACTGAACAAGAAGAAAGCAGATTTCCAGTTGCTATTTTGTTTGATGTCATTCACTGTTCAGTATATTGTTGTTGCAACAGATCAATCAAACCATGCTCTCTCCCTAAGGATATTTTAAGGTGGGAGGGGAAATGGCTGACGAAACAAACCACAAATACTCAGAAAAAGAGTTTTTCTAGATTGTACCAAACATGCTCTAAGGTGGAATCACGTCACATCTCAGTGTCTTAGGTGTTGACGTCAACAAAAACCTGACCTCTTTGTAGAATGGATACATCAACTAATACATGTGCTGGGTGAAGCAAAGTCACAAATGTTAGCATCAATAAGTAATTCTTACCGTATCCAAAAGACTGAACAGTGGACCTTTCATGGTTTATTCCAAGACTCAAACTTTAAAGAACCCTTCATGGATACTTCGTTAACACGTTTAGATGTTAATATTATTCTATGCATGACCATGCACGTCAATATCCAGTTGTTTACGGCAAACCAGTGAATTAACTTTCTGTTTGTTGTACTTTTCCAGGAGTTGAAAATGTTATCAATTTTGACTTCCCTGCAGCTGTTGATGCATATATTCACAGAGTAGGAAGGTACAGCTTTAATCATGTTAATTGTGTACGTGTAGTTGTGTTGTAACTGGATTTGTTTAGAATGCACCTGAATTCCCCTTCTCTTGATTTTTTCTGCACCTACTACCTATGTTATGTGCTACTTCCTTATTTACTTACAGTCTGACCCCTGTTAAGCAGCCACCTATTAAACGGCCACAGGCGGCCAGTAATCAAAGTCCCAATGAGGGTTCTCTATTGTTTTTACCTCTATTTAGCGGCCAACCCCTTTTAAGCGGCCACTATCCATTTCCCCAATGGTGGCCATTTTAAAGTGCCACTGAAACGAAATTTTTGTATGTGAGATTTTTGCTTAGTAATAAAGTTTCAACCTTACTTGGAAACACTGCAAACTTTTTTTTCG